CATTTCTTCTACCTGTTGTTTTGCAGCACAAATTTCTGATTGGTTTTCAAAGCATGGACTCCAAATGAATTTCTCTGTCATAGAAGATACTCTCAGTGGACGACTTTCAACCCAAATCATTGATTCCTTCATGTTTAAAGATCATCTTTACTAAATACTACTAGAAAACTCACCTCCACCTTTAAGAATATCTTTTGTGTACTGGTGAATATTTGAACTCCGCTTAGCAAACTGACTTTCAGACATTTTCAGGAATTATGAACAAAGTCATGCATGGTCATCTTTTTGGTATGTCGTTTCTGTGAATAGTATCTCGTGTGCCCTATCTTCAGACAACATCATGTCACATTGGGGGTAGGGGAAACTGTTAATAGATTAGTTGCAAGGGAACTGAACTAAATACCAGCAGGTTGTAACCTGAATTCTAACTTTGTGTGTTTGGTCTGTATCTTTTGGAAAAAAAAAAAAGACAGAGTTTACTGTTCATGATATGTATCGTTAGTGTCTGGTATCTAATGCATCCTATATGAAGTGCTAAATAAACACTATACTACTGTATTTCCATTGCCGCATTTAAATAAAGCCTGCTATGAATAGCAACTTTTCTCTTCTTTCTTCTTATTCCAAGTTTCAGATTATAATGCAATGAAGTAGCTTTTATACAAATGCAGTGCTGGGGGCAGGATCTGGCACTGACCAGAGGCCCTGCTCCAGGGTAGGATTTGGTGCTTAGATGCAGGTCGTCACCACACTGCTTTGGAGAAAATAAATACAAGTGGATGACGTTGCTCATGGTGCTGTTGCTGTACCTCCTTTTGAGTCAGTCCTGCCTGGCAATTTCAGCAATATTGACCTTGAACCTGGGATTTTCTTGAACATTATCCTGTGCTACATAAGGATATACGTAGCCTACAGGTAGATGACAGTTTTTATAACTACCCAATAAAATCCTGCTGTCCCTAGGAGCAGGGGGAAGACAATAAAAAAATGGTACAAATGCTCCTGTGAACTTCTGTATAGACCATACTGTATTTCTTATATTAATTAATCAACAGAAAACACCAACTTGGCAATAGAGATCTGGATTTGTGTCTGTAGGAAAGTTAGAAAGATCTGTTTAGTCTTCCCTGGTTGATCCACTTCTCTTGCTTCTGTAAAATTGCTTTGATACTACAGGTGGGAAAATGTTACAAAAGAACTTTCTTTGAAAATAGCAAAATATCGAGTACTTATAGCACTTACAGAACGTTGAAGTATGATGACAAATGCGTTCTAAGCAAGTCTCTTCTGATATATCTGTATAGTCTGTTTCAAAATGCCTACAATTGAGTCTGATTATTATTATAACCTGTGATTTCAGGAGGATAATAGTGTTACACTTCGTTCTTAGAAAAATTTCAGTGATTAGAAATTCTAGACATACCAGGCCAAGTTTAAATACCCTTTAGAAACTTTTAAAGGTGCTAATGTGACCCATATGAATGATGATACTGTGTCAAAAGTATCATCATTTTAGTGCTGTTATGTGAACTTTATGAAAGTGATTGAAAAGAGCCTTTCTAGCGAGCATCCAGTAGGACAGGAAGCTGTATGAGCAGTTTCACTGCAATGGTTTTTGTAATTGTGCACCTAACTCTCAGGTTTTCATCTTACAAGGAAGTAGCTATTCCTTCTCCTACTTCAGGCCTGTATAACTGTCTCGGCAACATCATCCTTCCTAACTCAGGGCTGGTTTGTCATCTATCATGGTCTAGTCATGCATGCAAAGATCTTTAGAAATATCCCTGTGAAAGATTAAAAAACAAAACAAACAAACAAACAAAAAAAAAAAAAACAACCAACCAAATTTCTTTATTCAAATGACTGCAATTGAATGTTTTTGTAACATTTGTTTCTTAGGCAGCAGCGGAGTGAGATGCAGGTTGTCCTGTGTGTCAAGGCAGTCCTGAGGAAGAAAGAAAGGCGTCGCATCAGTGCTCATTTTGTGGTTTATGGCTGGACTGGCCTGTAGATGAAGGAAAAGAATCAAAGCGTAACACTGGACTGTGTTAGTCCAACATAAAACGCGTCCCAGCAGGTTGGTCGTCCTAGCCCTTTCACACCCCCAGCACATGGAAACAGTGATACCAGCTCACATGTGGATCCTGAGTTTGCTGCTATTTTCCAATCTACTGGAGAAGGAGACGGTAGAATTGGAGGTGGCAGTGAACAGCTGTACATTAAACTTCCTGAACAGACCTTTTATCCTTTTAAACTGCTGTGTAACACTTACTGTGAAGTTAGTTATTGAATTGTTCTTGATTTATAAAAACTAAAATAGGATTAAGATGGCAGTTAAAAAAAGGAAATTAAGCTTCTTGATCTTTTCCAGAGAGTTCAGATACCCATGCTTTTGTCTGAGGCTGTAGTATAGAAACATTTAGTGCCTAACTTGGAAAAGATCTCAGATAGCAGTAGTAAGCTCCAGAGTATGGCTGAATGACTTAAGGAGACTTGCATGGAATAAATAAGATTTGTTTTCTGTGACTGTCATTAGAGTTGGCTGGAAAGGATTATCGTACATGACTCAAAGCAGATGTTCTCCAGTAAACTTTCGAGTGAATTAGCCTGTGTGCCAGTCAATCTTCACATCATGGGAACAGCATGGGATAATTTGAAATGCCATATCAATTATTCTTAGCCATTCTCTGCAAGCTCCTAAATGTGAGGTCCTGGGATTGCTTCATGGAAGTTCTTGTTTTGGGGTGGTAGTAACAGGTTGCAGTGTAAGTAGACAAAGGCAAACGAACTAAAATGATGTGCAAGTTCCTGAGATGCTGACTTACGCAACTGTACTCTTAACCAGTGTCTGAAGAGAACAAGGTTGCCAAACTCCCTTGTATGTTACTTTGCCTATCTGCTGTGTAGCCAATAAGCATTTTTAATAGCAGCCTGCATTAACAAATTATAATTTCTGGTGCTGCTCGAAGTAGGATGATGTCCTGGTAGGTTTTGTAACTTCAGTCTCATGTCAGTTTTATGACAATATATTAATTTTATTAAGCTGGTAACAGATGATTTAAGTTAAAGATACTGGTGTGCAATACTGATGTGCTGCTGTTATCGGAATAGGTGTCTTCACATTAAATAGATGATATTTGAGGCATGTTGGGGAGGTCATCTTGTTTTCATCATCGTGTTTAACTATACCACAAGAAACTTCATAGTCTATCTTATTTTGAAATAGGTGAATATGATTTTTATTATAAGCTTCTCTTTATGGAAGTTGGGGTGAGGCATTCCAAGAAAACTACACAAAACTAGTGGGGAAGGGTGGAGAAGTTGTTGAGCCTGCCTGTTGTTTTTTTTTTCTGTTTTTTTTTTTTTTTTTTTAAGAACCGTGCTTCCCTGCAGGTCAAAAAGAAGGAAAAAATGAGAGGAGGTTCTTGCAGTTGATCTCCAGTGAGAGCCTTCGTGCTCCTTGCAGCAATCGCTTTAGTGCGACAGCATGTTTTCAGCTAGTTACAAATGTGTGAAGAATCTGAAATGGGAGTTTTGTGTTTTACCAGAGGTTGAGTGATCAGCACAGACTCAGTGGTGTAAGGCTGCTTTTGCTGCCTTAATTGGCACCATGTGTCCCTCAAAGGAAGGGATGAAGGTAAGTATCAGTCTGGGTGTAGACCTGGTCTCTGGTAGGTGATTTAGCATTCAGGGGCATCCATCTATGTGTATTTGGGTATACTGGACAAAGGCAAAGCTGCTGCTGGAAATTCCCTGACCAGTTTCATCTTTCTGTAGGTGTGTATATACATGAGCATATCACTTTCCCCATCTCAACCTTTTGATAGACTAATGAGCCTTTTTTGCCATCAGTTTGTCATTTAGTTAATGAATATGTGGGGATTACCAGTAACTGCAAAAATAATTGTACCCATTATTGGTGTGTGCAATACACAGAGCCTTTTTGCACCCTGGTAATTCATAGTCTAAAATATGTGTTGGGAAGGAGAGTATCATGTTTTGCAAGTCTAAAAACGTTTGTCTGGAAACTCCCAGAATTGAGCATTAGCTCTTCCAAGTGCTCTGGTTCTAGAAACTGAAGAAAACCCTGGTGTTTTGTATTACTTAAACTGTGGTGCTAAATCATCCTTCCTAGGCACTGAGGGCAGTACAAGGATCAAAACATGGAAGAAAGTCAGTGCACTGTAGTGAAATAGTGAGAACTAAAATACGTGCTATTGCTGCTTTAAAGCTTAAGTGGAGTTGTACCAGACCTGACTGGATGGTAGGGCTTTATTTAAAAACCTGCAGAGGCATTGTAGTTCAGTGAAGAAAGAACCATGATAAATGAATTCATCTTTGGTCTGAAGTTGGTTTTACAACCTGTAAGAATTATAACAACTCAAAACCTGTATAGACTTTAAAAATAAGTTTGATAAAAGTAAACCTAAAAATCAGGCGAAGTGTTTAATTGCTGACAGCTTTATCCAAGTATTTCCAACATTAAGCAATCCTGCCATGATGGAAGGAAAAAAAAAAAAAACACACACAAAACATTGTCTCTTCACAAGATTTTCTGAAAGGAAGAGACTTCAGCTCCTGATTGTACTGTTTTATCTTAATAGAAGGTTACAATTGACTTGGAAAAGCTATTTCTTACAAACTTGCAATCTTTTTAAAATGGAAGTATCTTGCACTGCAGTGTGTGGCTGGGAGGGCAGGGCTACCTGATTATGCTCCTGATAAGACTTTAGGATAATGTGGGATCCCTGCAGAGGTTCTTGCTGAGAGATTTTTCTCAGATGCAGTTCACGTCCAGTTGAGTCACAAATGCAATTAAGCAATAAATGAGACTGTGATTCAAGTTTTCCTTTGCTTATCTTTTAAATCTATCTACAAAGGTGAATTAGAAATTCCATTTTTTGGTGCTTTTTAACATCAGATAATGGAAATAGATCTCTGTGTAGTTTGAGGTTTCTCGTAGAAATTATTAAAATCACACTTGTGCTTCGCATCTACAGATTGTGGCAACTGCTGTTGCGTGGAGCTTACTCACGCATGCAGAAATACTGCAGTGGAGAGCATCAGAAAAATCTGATAGACGCTGTGTTAATGTAACATGAATTTCTGCAGTTACTCCTCACCACCTTCCGGATCGGGACGTACAATTCTGGAATGACTGCGGAGGTTTGGAGGCGGAGGCGCGGTGGCGGCATCCCACGCCGGGCGATGGTCTGAGGACACCTACCGGGCACAGCCTCTGCCTCCTCTGCGCTGACGCCTCCGAGTTCTACCCGGGCTTCAGACTCTCGGCGCGTGGCTGCAGGAAGTGCCGATATTTTGAAGGAAATTGTAGAACGTTGACTTGTGTAAATCTAAAGCGGTGTCTAAAGGAATAAATGCAAGATTTCTGATCTGACTCGTTGCTCTTCTTGGTCCGCTTGGCACTTATGTTTCCGTAGGCTGTAGGACAATTAACTGACACCTTGGTTAGGTGTCTCAGAACTTTGCTAGTAAGTCACACTGGGTTTATTGCTGATGTTTCCTTTAGTTTTACATAAGAGTGTGTTTGTTACAGCTCCTCCAGTTTCCAAGTAGGTCAGTAAAGTGTCCTTGTCCCTATTCTTTGAACAATCAGCTCCCTAAAGCCAGACAGTGTGACAGCAATTTTGTGATTAATGCTTCCAGCAATTATAAAGTGGAAGGTCTTAAATTACATTTGGTAACTAAGACCTGTACGTGAAACATGAAGTGACTTTGTCTTCCTTGTTGCAGATCCATAACATGGTGGCAGTGCTGGAAGTGATCTCCAGCCTGGAGAAATATCCCATTACCAAAGAGGCACTTGAGGTATGTCACCCTCTAAACATTACTTGATTTTTTTTGTGTGTATAAAAGGACTTTCTCTGCCTGTCTAATTTCCATAAGAGCTTTTCTTGAAACAATACATTGATTGCAAAAGATTCACAATTAAGATATTATTTTGTCCCTCCCGTGCTGCTTCTGACATCTCAATGCACACACAGTGATTCTTTCTGGATTCAGATCAGTATTCTGTGCAGCACAGTTCCTGTTTGTGCAGGGCACTAAATTAATCGTTGCTTGCTACTGATTAATTCTCTTGCATTCAGCAACATCACTCTCCTAGCTGACGTACCGGTCACCTTTTTAGATGTTTGGTGACCAAGCACCAAAGAATCTGAAATAGGAATATAATTACTCTGTCTATAAAATGAATAATAAAGTTAGTTAAGCAGATTTCAATGTCTGATCTAGTTGGTGAGATTAGGTTTATTAAATGCTGAAGTATCAGGTGGGATAGCTGCAGTCTCAGTGGCCACTCTTAGAAAGAGAGACCAAAGATGTCTTTATGGCTAAACTATAAAAATTTTTTCAGTCTTTATATTGAAGTTATTGATGCTACTTGCTTTTAACTATTGTTTAATTATAACTCCAGCTGTACTTCAACATCTGTACCGCAACATGTTGCATATTTCTCTTACAGTCTGGGCTATGTTTTCCTTTGAAGTGCTTTTCTTAAGTAATCTGACTCGTGGAACAATTCTTTGTTTTCAAATGTGCTTTGGGAACAATCAAACATTTCACTTCCTTCCGCTTATGAAACCACTTTGGGACACCCTAGGAATGCTTGTTTAAATCGGTCTTTCATACGTTTTCAAGATACTGGGGAATGAAGGGAGAGGAGAGATGGAGGAAGAAGGTGGGATGTAAGTCACACCCTGGCTAGTCAGGTTTGTGAAATGGAGATTTTTATTGTCAGTGTATGACTGTAACGGGCAAAGATTCTGGAATGTTTTTTTCTCTTGCCTCTTTCTGCAGATCTTATACTTTCATTGTGATACACACCCTTTGTCTGCCCTGGGTTCTGCATTTCCTCTTGAATCTGAACTTGTGCCTTTATTCTCACTTATTTCTTGTTGATTAAAGAATTCCTTTCTGATGTTTTTCACAGCTAATGGCTCTGGTGCTTTAGCCTGGGAATAAAGACAGGGTGACTTGAAACCTACAGGAGGTTTTGTGTTGCGTGGTGAAGCACTGGACCAACTGGACTAATCCTTTCCAAAAAAGATTAATTCAACACTTACTTAATTCAAATCTTTAGTGGTTTTTAACTAGGTGTTTCTTAGGGTAAGCATTACAAAGCAGAAATGTACCTAAGAATTGTGTTTAGAAATGATACCTGTTTATAAAACAACTTTTCTTTCTTTGTAGGAAACAAGACTTGGGAGGCTTATCAATGAGGTGCGAAAGAAGACATCCAATGAGGAACTTGCCAAACGTGCCAAGAAATTGTTGCGGAATTGGCAAAAGTTGATAGAACCTGTAACTCAGAATGAACCAGTGCCAAGAGGGTTGCCGAATCCACCTGGATCAGCCAATGGTGGTGCTCACAACTGCAAAGCAGAAGCGCAACTTCCTGCTGTGGCTGGATCAAAGCCAATCAGCGAATTGAAAAGCAGGAATGATATACAGAAACTAAATTCTCCAAAACCAGAGAAATTGGGAAATCGGAAAAGGAAAGGTGAACACAGGGATGGGCATCAGGGCCCTCCTCCCCCAAAAGTCTCCAAAGCTAGTCATGAAGTATTACAAAACTCTTCACCCCCTCCAACAAATGGAATTGGAGGTAGTCCTGAAAATTTTCCTAGTCCTGTAGACATAAATCTACATGCAGGGCCTGAAAGCAGCAGGACAGAACTCAGTGAAAATGATAAACACAGTAAGATCCCAGTAAATGCTGTAAAACCTCACACCAGTTCTCCAGGACTTGTAAAACCATCAAGCACTTCCTCGTTATTAAAGACTGCAGTGCTTCAGCAGCATGATAAATCGGAAGAAACCATAGGACCGCACCAACCTAAGAGTCCTCGCTGTTCCTCGTTTAGCCCTAGAAATGTTAGGCATGATACTTTTGCTCGGCAGCATACTACGTACTCACCAAAGGATTCGATGCCCAGTCCATCTCAAAGGTCTCAGTTCTTAGATACTGCACAGGTGCCATCGCCGCCACCATCCTTGATGCAACCCTCAACACCTCCAATGCCAGCAAAAAGACTGGAGTTCTCTCAGCAATCAGTAACTGAGGTATCTCAGCACTGGCAGGAGCAGCAGGTACCTTCTGAAAGCCAGCACAGGCACACAGCAGGGACACTTCAACAGCACACATCTCCCAGCTGCAAAACCAGCTCCCACCCTGGGGAATCTCTCACGGCACACATGGGCTTTTCACAGGACACTTCAAAAATGGACAGTGATGATGCTGCTTCAGGTTCCGATAGTAAAAAGAAGAAAAGGTACCGACCCAGAGACTATACAGTCAACTTGGATGGGCACCTGACAGAAGGGGGTGTGAAACCTGTGAGATTAAAAGAGAGAAAACTCACTTTTGATCCCATGACAGGACAGATAAAACCTTTAACACAGAAAGATCCTTTGCAGGTAGAAATACCTGCACTTACTGAACAGCACAGGACAGAAACGGAAAAGCAGGAGCAAAAACCCAACCTGCAAAGCCCTTTTGAACAAACGAACTGGAAAGAATTATCCAGAAATGAAATCATTCAGTCATATTTAAACAGACAGAGTAGCTTGCTGTCTTCATCAGGAGTACAGACTCCAGGAGCTCACTACTTCATGTCTGAATATTTAAAGCAGGAGGAAAGCACTAGAAAAGAGGCTAGAAAGACTCATGTTCTAGCTCCTAACAGCAAACCTACAGACTTGCCTGGGGTCACGAGAGAGGTCACAAGTGATGACCTCAACAGAATACGTGAACATAACTGGCCAGGCGTGAACGGTTGTTATGACACACAGGGTAACTGGTATGATTGGACACAGTGCATATCTTTAGATCCACATGGGGATGATGGTAGATTGAACATCCTGCCTTATGTCTGCCTAGACTGAGTACAGTTTTGCTAAAAATGCTTTTACATCTGCAGTTAGCAAAAATGGCAGACACTATGCCACTTAAAGATGGAGAAAGCCTCCTGTCCTGGACAAACAGGCCCAACGAGCAGAGGGTGTGAGGGAGCTGGTTCTTTACAGCTCTTTCCTTTAAATTCTCCTTTTGTGAAATGCTGCTACCAGTTTACTAACAATTGCAAAGGAAGGCATACGAAGGTTGATAAGTTGAGTTCAAAACTCTATAGCGAGCCAGCTATAAAAAAGTGTTAGTCCCCAAGAAGTGAAGAGGATTTCCAGCACTTTCTGAATGCCGGAATCTTATTACAGGCAGGTACAGAGAAAATTGTGGAAGTTACCTTAACAAAATATGCATCTATTTATTTGACTTGATTTGGGTTTTTATTTGGCAGTGAGATATTCAAGAGACAATGTGCAAAAACTGTAGTTTTATTTGTATCACATCTCTGAACATGATTGCGTTTTGGGGTTTTTTTTTTGTTTTGGTTTTTTTTTTTTTTTTTTTTTTGTTTTGTTTTTTTGTTTTTTTAAGTCATGTGGTACGGAGATTGGGTTTTAAACAGCAGGTGTTGCACTGCAGGCTGGGAGACCAGCTTCAGCTCAACATTCCATAGGCATCCACATATTTTAGTCTGGTTTCAGTTTAAATCCAGTCTCTGAGAAATGCTGCAAAAACTAGATGTTTAATGATATTTTTGATCTCACCACCACCAGCCAAATAATTTTCCTCCTTTTCCCTTCCTGCAAACTTCTAGGAAAAAAAAAAAAAAGAAAAAAAAAAAGAAAAATCACCTTTTCTAGAATCTAAATGTAATGAGGGTGCTACAAGTTTGTAACTGTACTGTGAGAGGGAAAAAGGAAGCCTGTTTGTATGCTGGAAATATACTTGTTACCATTCCTTTAGATATTGTTTGCCTTATGGATATCCATCATAAACGCAATTTGCAAAAACAAAGAGCCTTAGTGAATGTACAGTAACTAGACTTCTGTGTTCTTGGGATGCAGAAGGGAGCAACTTTGCTATTTGGTCCTTTAAGTGGACACATTGTGATATAAATGTGGAAATAAAAAAAATTTGCACAAAACAGTTTGTGAATTATTTATACTTAACTCATTTTTTTTTAAAGTTTGCTCAATTCAGACCAGCTAAGTGATCATCGACACTGAGAATCCGTCGGAGCGGTGTGGTGAAGCTGAACCCCTTCTGACACTGCCGAAAGCAGCTGGCTGTTAGGGATATACAAGATGTCTTCCAAGTACGTTGGTGGTATTCAGTCGCACAGGTTGGATTTTTTTTTTTTTTGAACTCTGGTTGCATCCAGGGTGTGGAGACTGATAACCCAGCTGCTGTTAATGTACCTCAAAATCTAAAAAGATCAGAGTTCATCTTTTTTCTCAGTAACTTTGTAATATATTATTCCTAATTGTTAAAATGCTTTCTAAAGCAGCCTGGTTCAGTCTAGAAAGCTAAGAATTTCTATTAACTGTAATTGCTTTAACATTTGGGACTAGTTTTTTGCAGTCCCCAGTGCTGGGCTTCTGTCCAGGGGAAAAGGGGAGGGGACACTATACCAAAAATATTTCTAGGTTTAGTGATGTTAACCCGTTTGTGCTGGATCTCGCTTCTGTGGAGCAGAGCCTTGGCAAGAGTTCTGCCTTTGGGAGCAGAGTTAAGCTCTTGCATGATTTTAAAAGGGTGATCCTTGCCACGTATATAAGTTAGTTCATTCCCTGGAATACAACTGATAAGGTTTGGTTTATTTTTTAAGTCACTCATGTTCAAACCTACTGCTTTTGTGTTCTGACTGGTATTGAAATGTGTGGGTGTCTCAGTAATCTTAACTGATGTCTGTTTGCTTCCACTTCTGAAATCTGAGGTCTGAGAGTAAAACCAGAAAAAGTGGTTACCAAAAAATGTTTCCAAGTATATTTTCAGTTTACTTCCATTTTGTCCTCCTGCAGTTGATGAGGTCAAGCATCATGTTTTAGAGTTGGGGAAAGCTACTGTCTTGGAGTTCAGAAAGATAGATTTGATGGTAGAGGGCTAAAAAGCTGGTCATTTTGGAAAATGTTTGGGTTTTGTTTATGTAAAAAATACTGTGCATCTTACCTCCCCCAGCCCCTTCTCCCTATTTCCCTGAATGGTCTTACTTAGGAACAGGGTCTGTGCTCTTCTGAGGCCTTTGAATATAGGGCAAATTTCAGGAAATGACGAAGTATTACATTACGCTTTACAAACCCCATCTCTTTCTCCACTGCTTACATTTCTGATGCAATCGATGGCCCTTGTGGACCACACTCGGTGAGGTGATGCCTTCAGTTCATCACTGCTTTCAGATTATTACATCCAGCTCTCAGTAGCAAACTGGCCGTGCTGATGCTCACTTGGCTGGAGGGAGCATCGGGTATCGGAGCCAGCCCCTTCCCTAGTGCTACAACATCGCTGGAGAAGTCCACTCAGTGCAAGCTTCAAATCTTGTTACATACCAAGTTTGTTTCTGCTGTAAGGGTCAACTCACATGGATGTCATCCAGGGTGAGATGAGGCTTGACAATCTTTATTTCAGCATGCTAGTATAACCAGTTCTGTGAGCTCCAACAAATGTGAATAAGTTTACAAGGTGATATTTTTTTGTCAATTTTGTAAACAAGTTCAAATGAAGTTTACCGTGTGCGTATCTGCTGTGTACTCTCATTTTTGCATGAACTCAGTTTCTCTGCTAGGGGTTTCTCTTAACTGCCTTACAAAACTTATTCTTATCCTAAAATCTTAAATTTATATACTGCTATCTCTTTCCTGTCAATGGATGACATGAAATGGCTCATCTGCAAATCTTTTGGGAATCGCCATTACCAAAAGTATTTTTATAGATACGTTAATGATGTAGAAATGTCTCTTGACAGGGTGCTTGACAGGTACTCACCCATCTTTTAATACTGTCAGCCTCACACATTCCTTAAATTATCAGGATCAATTGCTTCATTGCCTGGGAGTATGTGACTTGAGCTCCCTGGGCCTGTTGATTTCCTGAGGCAATTTTCACTTGGCTGCACTGCCCTCAAGGCCTGCCTTACAGCTAGGCCCACACTCGTGCTGTAAAACCAGAACAGAAACTAGATTGGTATTTTTTTGTGCGTGTGTGCATTTCTTGTACTCCATGGTGTCCTGGGTTATTTTAACCTCTCAGGCTCCCTCTCGGCCTGTGCTCAAGCACCCCCAGGCACCTGCCTGAAGTAGTAGCGGGCTTGAAGCTGAGGGGAGACGGGGCTCTGGGGCTTGACTTGCTCTGCCCAGGCAGGGGCTGACAGACCCCCGCAGCCCGCGGGCGGCTTTGCCGAGGCTCCCGCTCCCACCGAGCGGCTCCTGCAGCCCCCGGAAAGCGCCGCCGGGGCCCGGGGGTGGGGTGGGGTGGGGGGGGTGGGGGGGAGAACCCGGGGCGGGGGGGGCTGCGGGCCCGGAGAAACGGTGAGTGCGGGGCCGGGAGGCGCGGGAGCGGAGCGGCGGCCCCTGCTCGGCCCCCGTAGGCGCTGAGGCGGTGGCGGCCCCGGCGCTCGGCCCCGCCCCAGGAAGCGACGCGTTGGCGGCGGTGACGTTTCACCGGCGGCGCAGGGAGCCATGGCGGCCCCGCTGGCGGCTCCCGGCGGGGCGGCGGCGGCGGGGAGGGGGAGTGGGGGGGGGTCGCGGGCCGGCGCTGCGCGAAGGGGCGCGGGTGTCGGCGCTGTGCCTGGCCTGGTACGGGCTGAGCGCCGGCGGGAACGTGGTGAACAAGCTGCTGCTCGGCGGGTTCCCGCGGCCCGTCACCGTCTCGCTGTTTCACATCCTGGGGCTGTGCGGGCTCCTGCCGCCGCTGCTGCGCGCCTGGCGGGTACCCCCCGCCGGCCCGGCCCAGCTGCCGCCCCGCGCCTACCCCCGCTACATCCTGCCGCTCGCCTTCGGCAAGTACTTCGCCTCCGTCTCCGCGCACGTCTCGCTCTGGAGGGTCCCGGTCTCCTACGCGCACACAGGTGAGGCCCGGGGTGCCGGGGGGGAGGACGGAGGGGACCCGGTGCGGTGGCCTTGTGCTCGTGTAGGAGCTCGGTGGGGTGGCCCAGCGTCGGTTGTGCTCGTACAGAGGCCAGGCGCAGGGAGCCGAAGCCCGGTGCGATGTCCCGGGACCCGGCTTGTACAGGTACCCGCTGTTTGCTTCTACTGGTGCCCCGTGGGGTGACCTGAAGCTCAATGTGGTGTCCCAGTCTCTGCTGTGTGCTTGTATGGGTGCCCGGTGCCGTGTCCTGGTCCCCAGTATGTGCTTGTACCAGTGCCTGGTGCAGTGACCTGAAGCCCCGGGGTATGCTCATGTGGGTGCCTGGCGTGGCGTGGCGTGCCCCAACGTGTCCCCGTGTGGGTGCCAGGCATGCTGTGGGTGCCCAGTGTCGTGCGGGTGCCCGGCGTGGTGTGGGTGCTTGGCATGGTGTGCCATGTCCCAGCGTGTGTTTGTGTGGGTGCCCAGCACGGTGTGCTGTGTCCCAGTGTGTCCCTGTGTGGGTGCCCGGCGTGGTGTGCCGTGTCCCAGCGTGTGCTCGTGTGGGTGCCCGGCGTGGTGTGCCGTGTCCCAGCGTGTGCTCGTGTGGGTGCCCGGCGTGGTGTGCCGTGTCCCAGCGTGTGCTCGTGTGGGTGCCCGGCGTGGTGTGTGTGCCTGGCATGGTGCACCGTGTCCCCACGTGTGCTCGTGCGGGTGCCTGCTGCAGTGTCCCAGAGCACCAAGACCGGTCCGTGTTTGTACGAGTGCCCAGCACGGTGACACTGAGGGACAACCCAGCGTGAGCTGAGGTTGTGGCTTTGGTGGGACGAGGCCTGAGCCCCCCCCCATCCCCAGCACTCCCCTCTGCTGATGGTGGTTAATGGCGTTGGCCTGAGCTTCGCGTCCCCACCGACGTTTTCTTTCTGTTCTCAGTAAAAGCGACGATGCCAATATGGGTGGTTCTTCTTTCACGGATCATAATGAAGGAAAAGCAGACGACGAAGGTGCGGACAGGTTTGCTGAGGTTTCTTCTCTTGGAGGTGTTTGTGGTGTGCTCTGCTGGCTGGGATCGGGGAAGCTGAGCCTTTGGTTAGCTGGGGGAATTTTGTGACTGGAATTAGATTACGCAGATTTTACAAGTTCCTTTCCCTTTTATTGTAAATGTAAAGAAAACACGTCTAGGTATAGAGTGGGGTGATACTTTCTGATACGTTGGCATTGTTATAGTATGTTTTGTAGCCACTTAATTTCTTCAAGCTACAATAGTATAAAGGTTGATCTCTGCTTCTGTTGCTTTATTCTTCCTTCTCCTTTCTTCCCCACATCAGCAGTATGTATAAACTCAGTTGAAATGAAAATTCTTAGAAGCTGTAAGCTACTCTTCTCTATTCTTCTTTCAGGTATACTTGTCTCTGATCCCCATAATAACCGGTGTCCTGTTGGCCACCGTCACAGAACTTTCCTTTGACATGTGGGGACTCATCAGTGCACTTGCTGCTACTCTGTGTTTTTCACTTCAGAACATCTTCTCAAAGAAGGTAATTGTTTTGCTGTTCATAACATTGGTCAGTAGCATCATCCTTTAGCAGAACAGTATGTATTTTCCAGTACATGGTTTGTTGTTTTTTTTGTTTTGGTTTGGTTTTTTTTAAGTTGCCTATAGTCAAGGGAGCCCAAAGTAAGTAATATTTGGCTATTTTGTGTGCCTGTTGTCTACAGCTCTTCCTACCTGTTGAAGCTGTTAAAACTCTTGAGTTCTGCCCAATTTTCAGTGTATCTTGAGCCTTTTCTTTACTCCTCAGCATGGATTATTTTTTTTTCCTGGCAGCTCAATACTGCTTAAATTAACAGTTCCTTTGAAAGCTCTTACTTGCTGTATCAAATCCTTTCTCTGTAGTGAATGAATCAGTGTTAACACCGTGCAGTTCTTGAAATCTTCAAAACAAAATTAAAATGTCTTAAATCTGTTTAGTTACAAAATGATTTCTGGTTTCTAGAGCATTTTAATTCTATTATTATCTTGTTAACACTAAGAGTCACCACTCAATAACCCATTGTTTTTTCAAATGGACATCTGTTTTTCTTTGGTTATCCTTATAGGAAATTCATACTTCAACAGTATTTACTTATTTTCATAATTTATCTGTTGTCTAAAGCTGTTACTGTTACATGGCTCCTGAACCTCCACTGAAAATGTGGGCAGTAGCTGAAGGATGGCTGTTTAATACTGTTTTTTGTCAGGTGTTAAGAGATTCCCGAATACATCATCTTCGTTTGCTGAACATACTTGGGTGCCATGCTGTGTTCTTCATGATTCCAACGTGGGTTTTGGTAGATCTTTCTTCCTTCTTAGTAGAGAATGACTTGGTAAGTGTTGTATTTGAGAAACTGTTCACTATTAAGAAAGGAAAGAGTGAAAAAACCAAAACAAAACACCAAACACCACCACTTATACAAAAAATGTGCACTTAAGTGTTTCAGAGTAGTTCCTCATCAGCATGGAAGGAACTGTTTTGAAACACCTGCAAACTGTTTCACAAAACAATATTAAAAAAAATAAACGCAGTGTTTATTGTGAGAAGTCATGTCAGGTTTAGGAGAGGTAGCTTATGTGACAGCGTAAATCTCAGGAATTAGTAGCTGGAGACAGGAACAAATGCACCCAGACTGTTACGAGTGCGTAGAGAGATGATTCCTCAGAGCTGGTAGGTGTATAATGTATCATACTCGGGTGCCTCTTTAGAGCTAAGTTGCAGATGTTCTTTAGAGCAATGGCAGAAGTGACTCAAGTTGTCTTTGTGTTTCTTATTCTCTTATCTGAAACCTGAGTTAATCTCTTTTTTCTTTTAACGTTTGTCTTTATAACAGAGTACGATGTCTCATTGGTCCTGGACCTTGATGCTGCTTATAATCAGTGGATTCTGTAATTTTGCCCAGAATGTCATTGCCTTCAGTATCCTTAACCTGATCAGCCCGCTAAGTTACTCTGTTGCAAATGCCACAAAAAGAATCATGGTCATCACAGTGTCCCTTATAATGCTTCGCAATCCAGTTACGAGCACCAATGTCCTTGGAATGATGACAGCTATCCTGGGGGTCTTCTTATATAACAAGGTAAGGGGTTTATTTGTTTATTCAGGAAACTCAGTTGAAACAGTCCAGTAGCCCAGTAGCTTTGAATTATTTTTTGTACAAAAATGTAGAATGCAGGGCATAAAACTTTCTTGCGGAGGAGGTGCGTGCATCACCTCAGCAAAGTACTCGGGTGCTTGGGTCAGGCCAGCTGTTAGGCCTCTAGCAAACGTAAATTTTGATCTTAATGTTTTCTTGAAAAGTGAAGACTGGAAAGTAACTCGCTCAGATCTCTTGAGCAAAAGAACAGCTTACTGATGTAGCATATGAGAGGAACAAGGGTTTTATTAGAAGCCACTAACATTTTAAGACTCCAACAGGCATAGGTAGTGTTGTCACTGTAAATGTATGCTTTCCTCTAGGCATTTGAATATGTTAGGTGATACCTAAGAAAAACTTTCTTTCTTTTACCAGACAAAATATGATGCAAACCAAGAAGCAAAGAAGCAGCTACTTCCAGTTACAACTGGAGACCTTGTGAATCTAGACCGGCATCGAAACACTCCTGAAAAGTCTCAGAACGGACTTACGGCATTTGCACAACACGGAGACTATCAGTATGGTCGAGCCAATATCTTAACAGACCACTTCCAGTATAATCGGCAAAACTATCCGACTACCTACAACTTAAATCGTTTTGATATATAGAATCCTGGCAAACAGGTATAGACTGTGATATCAAAGTGTCCCCAGCATTATCAGAAACTTTTAGTACATCCATGAATGTAAAGCCATTTTATTGTACAGTTTTTGCAGAAGGGAAGATGCATGTGTAGTGAAAGCGGTAAAGACCTCCAACTTCTGCTAAGCAGACCTTTAAACGTGAAACGGCTAGATCTGACACTGGAACTAAATGCACAGTGTAGCTCTTGTACAGAGATCCTGCTGCAATGCACGTACGTAACTTCAGAGTAAAACATCTGCTGTCACTGCTCCTTTTCAGTCAGTCTGTCAACTGATTATTCTTTTGGCAGCTAAATTCTGGCCAGTATTTTGTTTCCATGCTGGTACCGTCACCTTTAATTTGTTCTCCAGGATGTTTTAATGGTACTTTCTTTTAATGAAACTTTCAGAAAGAAGTGAAACCAAGGCGTACTTCTGCTTATCAGGATTTGTCTGTCTGAGGGAATTGATTTATGTGTATCAGCTGCAAATAGGTAGACTTGAATTCATCTCGAGCAACTATGAAACTTCATGTGGGTATTAACTGCTTTTGTGCCTACGTCTTCAGTTGTTGATGACAAAGCAGGAGTGTTTCTGAAAGAGTAGAGGAGAATGATTGATTTCTTCAAGAAGCATACTTCAGGCAGAGAGAAACGGATTTCTCAAAAATCACTGTTGGCCCAGTCACTGTAGGTAACAAACAAACAGAGCTTAAGATCATAATTGTTTTCTGAATACTGTAGTCCTGTAACTTCAGACATTGCTCTTCCTTGGCAATACAGAAAACACCTTCACAAATAAAGTATTTGGAATAATACGATTTATTTTTTTTTACTTGTTTCACACCTGTTCTTGCAAAACTTTTGTTGCTTTAGAAATTGAAAGGCTTAAGGTGTTTTCTTCTCAGTTTTATGCATAAATTATGCCCTCATATGATTCATATATTATGAATGCATTCATTTGATTAATCATCATTCTTAATTGTTTCTTAAGTCTATCTTTTTAGCCCCTACCTGTTTTTTAAAGTTTCTTAATTCCTGCTATGGGAGTTGCTGCATGCATTTAGCCTGACTTCCACTTTCCGCTGAAAGAAGTTACATTTTGTATCCTGCTCTGTTCCTGCAGCTCCCCTAGCTTGAATAGTAAATTGTAAAGAAAAAAATATTTGAATCAACAGTAAATAGATAATTTATGGTTAAGAAGAACTGATTCAGTTAGTGTAAATGAACGTACTTAATTCTAGACAAGTTGATTGTTGTGCGTTAGATACTGCATTTGTGCATGAAAGGAATGAAACCGGCTGAACTTGGGTTTCACTGAATCAGATTGTTATTGTTATTACTTTAGCAAAAGAAGATTTTAGGGGCCTTCTTTCCTTACCAGAAAAGCTGTTGTACAGTGAGATTTTTGATAGCATAAGAATTATGTTTTTGCTGGAGAGGTATTAGATACCAGTGATAAAATTCAGGGTGTGGTACAGAACACTCCCTCCACTTATTTATTGCTTTAAAAATGACCATTTCCATGATGTGAGATGATGATTTGGTTCCTTTCTGGATAATAAAGAATTTATTTTTAAGTGCAAAGTCAACCTGATCTTATTCTTTTGGCTGACTGTGGAGTTAGTTATGTCGACTGCCTCCCGCTATACAGTCCAAAAGAGGAAATGGTCCTTCTGAAACTTCAGAGATGGGTTACATATGCTGCTAATATTTGTGAGCAGAACTTCCTTGACGTGGCTGGAGTTGAATCTGTTCACGCTAGCTTAGAACTTGGGCTTTTAGTTTAGTAAATCTAAATAAATTATTCCCTAACCGAGGTTACCAAGAACAAGATGATGAGGAAAAGCATTCTTTCAGATGAAATTTCTTTTGCCTCTTCAAGTATTAACTTATGTATAATTATTTCTTTTTAATATGGGAAAGTGCAAAATGTGTATTTCTAAGGTTCCCTTCCCAGTATTTAAGTGCTTTTACATACATATAAAAAGGATCGTGTGGACTCTGTATTTGGATTAGATTTTGGCTCTGCAGAAAACTGATTTGAGGATGGGATATTTAGGCTGAGATTTTTAAGAAGGGCTGAAGTTCTCCAACCCCTTTCGAAGGGAGCTAGCTGTAAACTGTTGGACTCCTGCAAATGCTTCATTGTGTTCTTTGTGCCTCAGTTTCCCATTTTGAAAATGGAGATCGTTCTTCCTTACTTCATAGGGGGCAAAATACCAGAAAAAAAGTAGCAGTGGAGGCCCCAGGGATGTTCTGTCCCCGGGCATACTGTGAGTTCATCTGTACATCTTGTGGTATGTCTATCGCTGTACCATCTTCACACAAATTGAACTATTACTTGGAATAAAGCTCCACATACTGTATTCACAGATCAGAGCCTTTATTAAATATATTGAGATGGTTTCCTTTTAAAGAACATAACCAGATCTGTTTTGCAATTGCTTTCAGAGAAAGCTTGCACTGCACACTTACTGTGGCAGGTCTTTACTCAGCTTGTTTTGTAAAAAGCATGGTAGCAGGTGAGGGCTTTCTGTTGAAAAGACCTTGTTGCAAATTCCAGGCTGTGCTTATGGCCTCAGTCTCTGAAATAAAACTACTGTACTTGAGCAAAAAGGACTTAGCCCAAATGAGGTTATCATCTGTTTAGGGCTCGGAGAGTGCATCTCTTCCCTGGAGACTGCCTGACAAGTGTTCATGCCCTTCTGGTTGAGGTCTGTGGTCACCAGTGACAATACTGTATGGCAGAACCTATAATTAAAACGGTTGAGTGAATCAGTTGCAAGAGGTGGTTTTGCTGAGTACCTGAATCCGAGTCCTTAAGCAATATTGCCCACATTCAGGTAAAGGAAGTTTCTGATACTGTTGTTAATATATATTTTAATCTTGGACCTCTGCGAGATTTTGTTTGGCAAGGTGAAACGTTTGTTTTAACATGGTTTGTAAATTAATGACATATTTATGTACATAGGTCTGTAGAAAGTATGGAAACACTGGAATAAAAAGGGCATATCTAGACAATCGTGTATAATGACCCTGTTATTAACTCAAAGTGAATGGGGTTGGTTTGGGTTTTTTCCTTGCAGGAAGCTTTGGGAGTGCCATGCGTTAGTAGTAATGGCCACTTGCAAGAAATTGGATTCATGTTCTGCTGTATGGGTGTGATACCTTACGGGATGTTTACGTAGACTGAAACTAGGGTGATGTGGATGCCACGACTAGTGTTAGGACACTAGTCACTGGTATCCTTAGAAATGTTTTGATTTCCATTGTGCATTTCTAGCGTACATGTAAATACATAACAAAATTGGGAAATTCTTCCCAAAACAGTTTTGGATAGTTCTAGAAAGACCAGTGTGAAAGAAACTAATCTCTTCCCACTATGTGTGGGTTTTCTGTCAATAGCTCCATGGAGTATTTGGTGCTCTGTCAAGAGATCTTCAAAATGCTTCCCTTGCAGATTCAATTTTAGTACCCAATAGTAATTAGAGCATCTTTATCATCTGGTAAAATGCTTGTGCTATTTAAATAACTGAATACTAAATAAAATTGAGGCAATACTTAGGCTTTGTAGGTGTACAGTGATTTGTAAAAATGTTGGTAATTTGGGGTCAACCCATGATGATTCCTGAAGCTCCAGACCTGTTCTTTCTAATTTGTGTTCAAACCCACATTCTTCTGATGTAGCATTTTGCAGAAGAAGAAACTTCTGCCATGTAGCGATTTGTGAAAATGGTGCAATATAAATAAAGGGAAAGTTTTGTTTTTCTAAGGCTTCCATTCCTGAACCATGTTGCGAGATGTTAAAATAATTCTGGATTATCTTTGTGGTGATGGTACAGGCCAGTAAAACAAATTTGTTAATCCAGAGATGTCAGGCGTATGATACAATCACATCATGTAGATATTCAAGTGCCAATATACAGGTGGCAGTCACCACACTTCTTTGTGTTTGTTTTTTTTTTTTTTTTTTATGTTGGTACTCTATGTATTGATATGAATATGGGTGGTTTTACAAAAGAAAAAAAAAAGGCACTCCTTACTGTATGAAATCTGGCACTTAAGCAAATGAACACTTGTGTATTGTTTTCCTGTTCTTACTTCAACTCTGTCGTTCTGTGAAGTTCTGCATGTTACTCACCCAGATTCCCTGTGATGCACCCTCCTGCCCGTCGATGCTGCTGCTGAAGCCGGGATCCCTTACGGGCTGACGAGAAGAAACCACACGGGTGACCTCCAGGTACTGGGACTCTTTCCTGGCTAAAATAAATCAGGTGTGTTCTGCTGGTTTCTGGCAGACACCGGTCAGGTAACTGCAGCTTTGGGGGCATTTTGTGGATAAACCATTGCTGCCTGCTGAGGAATGTGGTGGCCTGGATGGTGACTGCATGGGCTTCAGTGTGCAAAGCAGCAGTAACGTTTGTGTTGGGGTAGAAGGCAAGAATTTTGAAGTTTCTTAATTTAAATATAAACTAAAATTTGAGCTTGATCCGGCCTTCTGGGATCTGTGTTACATTTCCAGGACTGCAGAGTGATATAGAATCATAGTCAGTCTGTATTTGATTTTATTTTTTCATTTCTTATTTGGATACATGGAAACATCTTTCTGGGGTTTTTATATTCTGTAGATAATATATAGGGGTCTACATGGTATGTCTTGTTAAGAATAAAAAGTTCTGCCTTTTTGTGAGGATGCCTGTGAGTGTTACCTGTGTGACTGGAAATCCTGTTAAGTGTAATTTAAACCTGAAACTTAAGATAGTGATTACAGCTCCAGGTGAGTGTTACAATACTCAGGTTTGCTTTTGGCCTTATAAGATTCCCAGATGATTGCTTCTGCTTGTACTCAGTTTTCCTAAAATATTATAGGACACCAAAATTATTTGGGCCCCACTTTTGAGTTTTGATGTCTAGTTCTCATGTAAATGGTCTTCCAAGTGTGTTGGGGCTTTGTGGGGTTTTTTGAATTGTGGAAGTAAAGGGAGTTGAGCGATTTCTGCCATGCCTTGTACTTCTTGACTTGTGAAGCTGATCCAATCAGTGCTTAGGAATGTTTTCCTGAATCCAGCAGGTACGTAAATGTGTATTTTTAATCCCACTTTGAAAAATAATGGAGGATCAGGTGCAAAAGGAAAGTTAAGGACCAGAAATTACCAGAACATTTTTGGTTTAACTGCATCATGAAGTCACTTAAGTACTGCAACAGTGCTGAAGTAATGTCCCTGCATAGTATTTGCACTTTCTTTCCTCAACAGTTGTATTTTAGGTTCTGTAGGAAGCTCTGTACTGAGCTTTCTACACATCCATGTTCCTTTTTACATCATGCCCATGGTCTGTGTAGTTCTGAGTGCCGCTGGGATGGATTATCCCCCAAGATGAACTGTATTAAATGACATGCTTCCTTTTAGCGCTATTAATTTCTGGCAACTGAATTACAGCTTGGACCCGGTGTTTTAAAAGTAGAGGAACTTCTTGGGAGTGATCCGGCAGCTCTGCAGGTACTTGGGGGGAGCTGAGGATGAGGACCCACACGCTGTAGCCCAGAAGCAGCTTTTTCTCCTTCAGGGCCCAGCAAAGGCGCAGTGCGTGCGACCCTCACCTCCGCCGGCGCTGGGGAAGGAGCAGTTACGGGCCGAGATGGCGCCTGCGAGAGTGACCGAGCGGCCTGAGGCGCCGCCCCCGGGGCCCTCACACGGCCGGGGCCGGGCCGTGTCCCGCCGGTCCCGGGCCGCGCAACCCCCGCTCCCGCCGGCGGGGCGGCGTTGAGGGAGCTGCGCGCGGCGCGGGGCGGGGCGGGAACGGCCGCACGTGCCCTTGCGCCGCGCGCCGTCCCCATAGCGACAGGGAGTGGGGCCGTAAAGCGCGGCTGCGCTGTGGCGCCGGGCGGCACTTCCGGCCGGTGCGGCCTAGCGGCGGCGGCGGCCCCGGTGTCGCGCAGCCATGGAGATGCCGCTGCCGCCCGAGGGTGAGCGGGGACGGGGCGGGAAGGGGCGGGAAGGGACGGGAGGGGGAGCAGGGCGGCGGCAGGGCTGACGGCGCTGCCTCCCCCCTCACAGATCAGGAGCTGCGGAATGTCATCGACAAGCTGGCGCAGTTCGTGGCGCGGAACGGGCCCGAGTTCGAGAAGATGACGATGGAGAAGCAGAAGGAGAACCCCAAATTCTCCTTCCTCTTCGGGGGCGACTTCTACGGCTACTACAAGTACAAGCTGGCCCTGGAGCAGCAGCAGCGTGAGTGGGGCCCGCGGTTGGCGCGGGGCCGGCACAGGCCCGCGGCGGGCTCCGCTCCCTTCCCCCGCGGCTCGGCCCCGGCTGCCGCAGCCCCTTTTCTCTCCCCTGGCCCCGCTCTGACCCTCCCCCAGAGCGTGTTGGCAGCCTCCTCCTGTCCTCTGAGTTCCAGGGGGTTGGCCGAGCCCTACCCGCGGCCCTTCTCTCCCCTACCGGTGCGGGTTTGGAGGCTGCTGGGCGGCACGACCGGAACCCAAGGCCCGGAGGGGCTCCCCCGGGGCTGGGAGAGTGTCGGAGTCATCCCCCTCAAAGTGCTCGAGGAGCTGCTGGCACTTCTCTTCCGTACCCGCCACGCTGGGCTGCGCGATTCTCATTTTGTGTGAAGCAATTACACAATGTGTGAGGGTCTGGTTTGGAACCAGCATGCTTTTCACGGGTGGGCTGGTGGTTGCAGATTTCTCCGCGAGGCTTACTTTAGAAGTTTACTTTGTCTGATAGTGTTGTGCAAGCAAAGTCAAGATATCGAGGCTACTGCGCAGATCCAGCCGCTGCCACAACCATCTCTGCCCCCGGCTGCACCCATCCCAGCTCCTCAGGGCACTCCTTCCGTGGAGGAACTTATCCAGCAGAGTCAGTGGAACCTGCAGCAGCAGGAGCAGCATCTCCTTGCGATGAGACAGGTTGGTTTAGGATAAGCACCCACTTGGTTTATCTGCCAGTGGCGGTAGAAATGAGGAGTGAAGGGGGAGAGGAAGGTTTCCTTCTGACTAGTGGCTGGTGAAGAGAGGGAGTGTTGCTTTGCTTGTTTTTGTTCGATGGCAGCTCTTGTGATCTCCTTAGGACAGATGGATCTGATGTGCTAGCAATACTGAACTTAGATTTAAGCAGTTTATTTACAATATAAAAAAAGCCTCGTTGATTTGCAGAGCAGAATAAATTGTGACTGCTTTAGTCTTTGTTTAAAGCTGCGGGTTGCTGGAAACTGCAAGGTATTCCATCCTGTAGTATTCTAAGTTGGATTCTGCTTAGGACTGGAAGGGAACTGCATGCTCTGAACTAGTTCGCTTTCACATAAAACACTTTGCTGTTAAAGCTACTGGGAAGCAAACTGAAGAGTTCCTGGAGGAAGGCAGTATGCCTGGATTATGTTCTATATGTTTGGGAGCTTCCTGCAATTATATTTTTTCACGATGGAGAGATTTTAGAGGTGGAAATAAACTGGACTTTTATTGAAGAATGAGAAGAGTCTTTTATTCTCAAAATCAAATAACTGAAACATTTATAAATGGTCACATTGCTTGTAAAAGGTCTTGGTGTTCAAGATAGCTACTTTATGGCCAAGACAGGGGATACAGCAGCTTACTTTTTTAAAAAAATGTTGGATGTAATATAATTTTTTCCTTTTTTTTTTTTTTTCCTTCTTTTTTCAGGAACAAGTCACATCAGCAGTAGCTCTTGCAATTGAGCAACAAATGCAAAAAGTTTTGGAGGAAACTCAGTTAGATATGAACGAATTTGACAACTTGTTGCAGCCAATAATTGACACTTGTACAAAAGATGCAATCTCAGTAAGTGATCTAAACCTGAACAGTTCTTTGGTGGCGTTGTGCATTAAGTATAATTCGAATTTTGAGATTGCTTATATAGTAAAAAGCAGCTTTGTTGTTGTGTGGTATGTGAGGTGATAGCTGTTGTTTGAAAGCTTCCGTTTAAGTTATTTCAGAGTTCTAGACTTACCGTATGATGGGAACACATTAGACTAACTTGAAATATTTTAAATTTGCTTTCCAA